TCGCCAGCTGTGTGACCTCAGGCAAGTCGCTGCCGCTCTCTGGGTCTCCGTTTCCTCATCTGTAGACCAAGGGGGCCGGAGGGAGTTATCCCTTTGAGCCGTAAGTTTCCTACTGTCCGGTGATCAAAGGCCAGCGGAAGGGCCAGAGGCCCCAGCCAGGAAAGCTCAGCCCCAGCTGGGCTTCCCATGTTAATGGCTTTGCGGAGGGGAGGCCCCCTGGCCGAGGAGGCCGCTTTATCGGGACCTGTTCCGGCTCACTAAGATCACACTTCACTCCGCTAACTTCAAAAGGGCCACAAGGGCTCCTCTGCAGACAATTGTGGGCCGAAGGTCCACACGGCCGGTCGGGCTTAAAGGGGTCACGTCATTGGGCAGCCGGGCAGGCTTTTAGGGACCCGCAGGGGGAAAAGGCCAGCGGAGGCCGGCTGCAGCCTCACGGGGCTTGAGCCTTTGTGGTTTTCACGTGGTTCTCGTCTCCCCCACTCTGCACATCTCAGATCCTGAAGGATGGTCCCGATGGGCCACAAGACATACAGACAGCCTCTAGGAGGATGAAGTCCAAGCTGCGATGCTGCCGGCCTCCCTGGGAGGGAGAGAACAAAGCACGTCTGTGAGAGTCGCCGCTCGTGGGGGGACCGTATTAGCAGCTCTGTGTGGGGCAAAGGGACAGGGGTTGTGGCTGGTGAGAAAAGTTGCCTGTGTGATGTGGCTTCCCAAGAAACAAAAGCTTCGGTGCTGCATTTAGAGAAATATAGTCTGAAGTTGAAGAAAAGTGAGAATATTAATGTCACCGTTGTAAATGCTTACTGTACCAGACACTGGACCTAGCTGGTTGTTACGTGGGTAACGTCATCATATCCTGATAATCTCCATCGAAGAAAACACTCTCATGCTCTCCCCATATTTCCCATGAGCCAGCTGAAGTTCAGAGAGGCTCAGTGACTTGTCCCAAGCCACACAGCAAAGGGCAGAGATGAGCTTCAACTTCGGGTCTCGGCACCTCTCCTACCACTGAAACAGCACGTGAAGGATAATTGAAAGAGCAGTGGTTTTCAGGGTGTGTAGGAGAAGCGGGGTCACGTTTGTCCTGCACTGGGTCTTTGGGGGGGAAACCAAGGCTAAAGAGTGAAAGGAAACCATTGTCCACTCAGTACAAGGAAGACATTTCTAGAAGCTGGTTGTCTGAAGGCCCCCTCAGGAGTGGTGATTTCTTTGACTTTGGGGGTGTTCGTATATAACCACCTGGCTGGGGGGCAGGCAAGTGGATTCAGTGGGTGGTTGAGCAAATGACCCTGCCGCTAACCCTGAGATTGGGATTCAAGGTCTGGGGCACTGGGTCAGGCAGACACGTCTTGGTCTCAGGCATCTAACAAGCTTCATCACACAGACGACTTCTCTGGGGGTGACTAGAGGTATCTCACACACTGGACAGCCCGAGGCCACCCTGAGGACCAACCGAGCTTGAAAGAACCCTGGCTTCGGGGTCAGGAGACCTGGTCTTCTGGCTTCAGCTTTTGGCTCTATGACTTTGGGCCAGTCACTTGACTTCTTGGGACCTCAGTTTCTTCACTGGTAAAAATGAGCTTGGATTGGATCATTTCTGCAGTCCTGACACACAGCTGTTTCACAGGAATTTGGGATGACCGGCAAGCCCGTGTGTCTCCGAAGCCATGGAAAGAAGCCTGAGGGCAGGCCCCAGGGCAGCCTTCTGAGGGAAAGAGGGCCTCTCAGTGGGGTGAGCTAACGTGGTCCTGGCTTGGAGGCTGGGGCCCAGAAGCTGGGCTGGTGGTCCAAATGGGGAAGCCAGTTCTTGCATTTTTATCGTGGAGGAACTGGGAGGAACACACTCAGCAAACAAAACAAACACACCAGAGTGGGTTGTTGGTGAGGGTGTGTGTTTCGTCTGCTGAGCTTGACGCCACTGGGGTGCTTCTTCCTGCACAGAGACACATGAGACAGGTTCCAGGAGGCTCTAGATTGGGGGTCAGGGAGAACAGGCATGCAGCTCCCAAAGGGCTTCTCCTGAGCTCTGCAGTTAACATCCCTGACTGTCTTTGTTATTGTGAATGAGGAGGAACTCCCACACGATCTGCTTTTTGAACAAAACGAAACACAGGTTCGAATCCCAACTCTGCCACTCACCGGCTGGGCGAATTTGGGCAATTCGCTTAACCTAGGATGTCTATATATAATTTATCATCCAAACGGGGGCACTTTTGAGAACGGAGGGGAAAGCGATCATTAATTATGCTGGGACAACAGCATGCGCTGAGACTATTTGGGGCAAACTGGGACATCCGTCACTCTGCTTACCCTATTTCTGCATTGAGAAAAGGGACATTGAGGCATTAATATGCACATATTTCATACGGCTTCGTGCTGAAGATGCAGCGAATGGCCCAGCATTTAGTGGGTGCTAATGGAGGAGGCTCCACGTTGCCCTTCTCAGAAACACAGAGAAAGGGGGCCAACAGGGGTCCCAGAGAAGCTGTGCTCAGACCTGCTTCAAATCCCTATGTTCTTCCCTGGAGGGCCTGTGCTCAAAGCCAGCTAGGATTTGGGCCTCCCTTTGGGATCTGTTTTCCTTTTCATAAACACAGACACAAGGTTTTTCTTGGCTAGGCCCCTCTGCTCACAGCTCAGGGATTGTACCTTGAAGCATTCACTCCCGAGTGATTTGAATCAGGATCTACCAGGAAGTTTGTTTTCCAAGGCCTTAGTCAACATGTGGGTGTGGAAACACCAACCAATTTCAGTGTAGAGTCAACTCTTTTTTAAATAGGGACTTTCACATTAGACTTTTCAAAATAGCATCATATTTAAACAAAATTCCATTTCCACCTTTCCATCACCACCAGCAGTTGCCAAAGATACCTCTGTTCTAGCCAGCGGCTTCCCCAGCCTTTACTCTGTCAGGACCTGGCCTGCGATGTCACAGGCTGGGGGTGTGAGGTCATGCCTCCATGGGCTTCCGTTTCCCCTCTGGCTCCTGACATGGAGTCAAAGCACAGCATGGGCCACTCTGCTTCATTCTGCCCCCTGGGCTTGTTGATTGCCCGAAACAGCAGCTGTGCATAACCCCCACCTCCCAAGATCTCCCCCTCTTTAGCCCTGGCACAATTCCAGGGGTTCCTATGCATATTTCAGCGCTAATACCTCATAACTCTGATGGCCTTTGAGGTACCAGGATCTGGCGTGAATACTTTTTTTTTTGAAGATTTTATTTATTTATTTGACAGAGAGAGCGAGCACAGGCAGGGGGAGCGGGAGAAGCAGGCTTCCCGCCGAGCAGGGAGCCCGATGCTGGGCTCGATCCCAGGACCCTGGGATCATGACCTGAGCCGAAGGCAGATGCTCAACCGACTGAGCCATGCAGGCGCCCCTGGCGTGAATACTTCTGATGAAGTATCCTGGGTCCCAGATGTGATCACTCTGAGCAGGCCCAGACTTACACTTGACCAAAGCCTGCAGGTTGGCTGGGTGCACACACCTGGCATCCTCCCATAGCTCGCAGAGCCCCTGTCAGTTGCCCTGGTCCCTTGCCTCCTGCCTCATACCTTCCCAGGGCCTGTCCTGGATCATGCGCTGCCCAGCCCCGACCCGGGGTATCTCTCTGCTGGCTGGCAAAAATCAGGCCAAGTCTGAGAAGCCCCCAGACAACCTGCTTGCTGTGCACTGGGGATGTGCATGTCGTTCTAAGTATAACACACAGTATTGCCCTTCATGAGCAATGGTCTTGCTTGTGCTCGAGAACTTGGGCCTCAAGGAGGGAAGGGGAGGGATACAAAGAAAAGAACTTGAACTTTGCGTAAGCCACCAAGTAACCCCTCATGCCTCCATTCTGTCACTTGCAGAATGGGGTTGATAACAACAGTCCTCCCTTGGACCGGTGTGAGAGTTCGGTGAGTTCGTGAGTGTAAAGTGCCTAGAGCCTCTCTGACATTTAGCAAGCGTGCAATTGCCCCTGGCCATGTCTATGAGAAATCCTTCTTGTAACCCTAGGAGATGGGGACCCTGACTATCCCCATCAACAAACAAGGAACTGAGAAAGGAACAAGGAAAGGCCAAGGGGCCAAGTGACTTGCCCAGGCCATGAGCTAGAATGATGGGCAGGAAGCATGCTTCGGGGAGTCTGACGCCCTGCCCTCTGTGATATGAGGGTCGGGGTTAAATCCCAATTTGGTTCCTTCATGTATATTTATAGAGACCAATATGTCAGGAGCCAGGGAGCCAGCGGGGAGCACCACCCAGTTTTCCTGCTGCCCATGCAGGCAGGCTCTGGACTAGGCACAGTTAATCTCCAGCCATCCCCATTGGCTTCACCTGGCTCATTAAAACCAGACACGGTATGAGTTTACTTAGCATCTGCAGAGAGCCTCTTTCATCTTCAAACACTTCCCGAAGCACCAACCAATTAATCCTTACAACACCCTCATCTCGTAGACAAATATTTATCCTCATTTCATAACTAGGTAAAGTAAGGCGCAGGCAGGAGGAGGAAGAGAGGGAGGCAGAACTCAGAGGAGATTCAGAGCTGCAGGCCCCTCTGGCCACCCGGTCCATCTGGAGGCTGCAGGGGAATTCTTCCCGTAATACCCCCCCCCCGCCCCTTTTATATAAATGGAAGCAGAACCTTTTGCAAGTTCAGAAGAATTAGATTTCTTTAATAGTAACCTGCAGGAAATACATTAAAAACACATTCTATCAGTTACAAATCTTAATGTCACCAGCCAAGGATGAGGGAATTAATGCTGGGCCCAAAAATACATATAGTCAGCAACTCTGGGGCAAGGGCAGAGACGATTTATAGAGTGCGAGGTCTGGACGTCTGGAGCAGGCAGGCTGAGCTCAGCGGTGAAATTGAAACAGGGCTGTTTTCAGATGGGGCGGGAGTGGGGGGAGGCTGCGGAGGGCGGCTTTGATTCAATCATTGTTTCCCAGTGCTTCTCAATGTGATTTTTCCTTCTTCTTTTTTTTTTTTTTAATGCTATAACGGCCAGGTTCTGATCTGTCATGAGAAGACTGCTTTTGTTAACTTAAGCTCCTATCAAGGGCGACTCTAAAAGGATCAGCCCCCCAAAAGTAAGTGGCCCCGCCAAAACAATCCAATTGTGATGATCTCCCCCGTCTACCTGGCTCAAACAAAGGAGAAACGCAAGCAGGGGCTGGGCTGGAGAATCTGGGCAGCAAAGACAAAACATGTATAATTAATGTGGTTTTAATTCTTTTAGCAGCAGATATTTTTCTTTACCTTTGTATTGTACAATAAAACACAATTACAGAAAACCACACCAAAAAAACCAAAAAACAGAAAAACAAAACCAGTATAGGTTAGTAAATTGTGAAGAGGGACACAGTGCAGATCTTTTAAATTGTTTTAATTTTTGGACTCAGCGCTCCATTTTGCCAAACTTGAATCTAACACAGACTTGGAAAAGACAAGTTTTGAATCTCAGGGATACACTTATGCTCTCTTTAGGAAGGACAGTGGCCTACAGAACTCTGTAGATTGCTTTGTACATCACTTGGCTGTTCGGAACGGCCACGTTGCCAGCCATGTGTTCGCTGCTCACAGAGAAAGGGTGCTACAGGACTCTGTGGGCACTAGGGGCTGAACCCCACAAGCAGAGACCAGGGTCTCCAGCATGTTCCCACCACTGGCCCTTTTTGTTGAAAACCACATAGCATACCCCCCGGGGGGTTGGGCAAATTCCTGTGGCCTTTTTCCCTGGAGAAAAAGGTGAAAAGGGGTCACATCATACCCCCTCCTTTTACAGCTGGGGAAACTGAGGCCACAGGTCTGATCTGAGGTCAATAGATAGTGGGAGAACCAGAAGCGAGAGCTGGGTTGTAGGACTCCCTGTTCAGTGCTCCTCTGTAACACCAGGATGCCTCTTTTTCCCGGATATGTTCATGTTGGGTCCATAGTTGCTTGTCAGGAACTGGTAATGACAGTCTCTCACCAGCCCGAGGACCCAGTGGGCTCACCAGTTATCCCAGTCTTGCCAGGGTTAAAGTGGGGGTTCCTGGTACACAGATTTTTAGTGCTAAACCTGGGACAGCCCCAGGCAGACCAGGACGAGTTGGTCACCCTACTGGGCTGTGTCCTTGTAACTGATGCCCAGTTGTGTTGACTGATCAGTGAGCACTGAATATGTGTTGGGGGCGATCAGAAGTTAGAGAGGAAGAAGGCCTTCCTTGTGCTGAATGAGTTGACTTGGAGTACAACGATCCAAGAACTGCGATTTTTTTTTTTTAAGATTTTTATTTATTTATTTGACAGAGAGAAACACAGCGAGAGAGGGAACACAAGCAGGGGGAGTGGGAGAGGGAGAAGCAGGAGAGGGAGAAGCAGGCTTCCTGCCGAGCAGGGAGCCCGATGTGGGGCTCGATCCCAGGACCCTGGGATCATGACCTGAGCCGAAGGCAGACGCTTAACGACTGAGCCACCCAGGCGCCCCAAGAACTGCGATTTTTAAAAGTTACTAAAGGAAAGCAGGGGTTTGTCCTGAATTAGAACAGCTAACACTTTGAACGTGCTTTATAATGTTAGTGCACTTCACATGCCAAATCTTAATTACTCGGGCCCTTAAGGCAAAGATGTCTGATTAAAATCATTTTTACAAAGTGGGAGACTGAGGCACAGAGCTGGCCCAGCAACCTAAGCCGGTGCTGCTCACCACGAGTGATGGAACTCGCAAAAGCCCCAGTTCTCTGACCCATGGCTGATGCTGATCCCCACCCCTTCTCTGCTCAGGAACCCTGGCTAGAGGCCAGACCTTGAGTTCTCTCTTTATTTAATTGTTGGGAAGCAGGAAGCCAGAAGCTGGGGATTTCTAAATTCAGTTCCAAGGACCTTGGATTAACACCAGAATAATTCCCTTACTGGCGACTTGCTCTCGGAAAAGCACCTTAGGGGGGACAAAGAAGGATCTCGGTTTGATTTGATCACGCAAGGCTATTTGTTTACCTTCAGCCTCCACGATCGGAAAGCTGAGCTCCTTCTGAGACAGTTTGCAGGCTCTCCCTTCCCAAATGCCATTCAAATGGCCCCAGTCCTGGCCATTGCTTTCCAGTCCCCCTGGAGCGGCCGACTCCCGTCCGCACTTCTGAAATTAGAGCTGGAGGTGAGAGCTTTGCGTTTCAATGCCTTTCTTCTTTCTTGGGTTTTAACTGCTTTTTCTAGCCTCGGGGAATCCCTTGGAAGTTAATAAAATTTACTACATCAAAGGGCTCCACAGCCATTACCCAATTAAAAGCTCACAGCACTCTTGCAGCAGGTAAGCATTATTAACCCCATTTTACAGATGGGGATACTGAGGTTAATTGGTTTGCCCCTGGCTCCCGAGGAAATGAGTGGCCCAGCTGGCAAGTAGAACTTGATGGTTTGTTCAGATCACCCGGCTGGGGCGTGGGGGGGGCAGCGGGTTGTCTCTGCTGAAATCCGTTTTCCAAAGCACCTTGATTTCTTAAAGATTTTCTTTTTCTTTTAGGAAACGGATTCCTTACCAGCAGCCCCGAAGATGAGGAATTTCCCCAAAGCTGGCTCGTACCTTCCACCAGGAGAGTTGCCGTAAAAATAGATGAAAGCTAAGAGGTCAGTGCAGTAATTTAGGAAACAATTTGGGCCTTTCAGAAATTAATGTTATTTAAAGATGCAGATTCATCCACCCCAGTGGCCTCCTGGGAGTGCTTCCTGAACCATCTGGTTCAATCAGCTCATTTTCTTTCCCCTAATCCTCCTGGCTCTCGTGTGTGTATGTACAGCGAAGGTTCCTGGGGAACTCGCAGCATGAATAAAAAGCAAAGACCTTTCTCTTTCAACCAGCCACCTCTCCTCTTTTCCAAACAGCATTAAATTCCTAATCCTGTTTATTCTTAGTGGGGGTATAAAATTCATGTTCCAACAGACAATGAGGAGATCTGTGGAGGCCTCCACCCTAGGGCTCCTGTCCTCTCAGTCTGGGTCCACCCAAGATGGTTGGCGTATCTTTACCCCATTTGCCGAGAGGACCCTACAAAACCTGGTGATGTTTGGGGATACATTTGCCCAGGCCTGCTGAAGGAGGAAGGGGAAAAAAAATTGTTTTTGGTCTGGTTAAAGCTATCCCTGAGCCACAGGGAAGATTTCAAAGACTCAGGTGAGAGTTTTCAAAAGAAGGGTTTCAGCACGGTCCCAAGGGTGTAAGTCCCTACTTCTTGCTGTTCAAGTCCAATTATAATCCACAAAGGCGGGATGCTGTGTTTACATAAATAATTATGAGATTCCGTAGAGCCAGACGTGTTGCAGCCCAAGGAGGCAAGCCCATAAATTACATTGGGGAATTAAGGGTCAGAGTGATCTTATCTCTGTAAATCCGGCCGGATTCCGGCAAGCTAAAGGCACATCCGATTGACTGAGCCTTGGGAGGCTCAGGCCCCAGAAACCAGGGAGCCTGAGGATGGCCCTACCTACCTCCCCCCCTCTTTTCTGCTTCTCCCTGTGCAAGATTGCCAGCTGACTCTGAGAGCTACAGGGTGGCAGGAAGAAGAATTGTCCCAACTTGCTCTTTGCCCAGCCTGCAAGGGAGGAAGGCAGGAGAGGGGAGTAGGCACCTCACTTCTATCCTCTCCTTTTCCTCCTGGACCACACAGGATCTTGCTCCTAAAACAACACCATGGAGTGGTGATGGGAAACTGTGAGGCTGCAAGAGTCACAGAACAGAGCTTCTCCAGATCTTTCCCTCCTGCAGAGGCCAGACCTGCATTTTTGCCTTCATTCAACAGAGATGTGCTGAGTTACTACTACACCCCCCTCACCCCCCTCACCCCCCACCCCCCGGTGCCATGGCACAGTGCAGGGCTGAGGGCTCAGGCTCTCAGAATGCTTGATTTGAATCCTTGCTCTGCTGGCCACCCCGGGGAAGTGACCTGACTCTCTGGGCCTCAGCCTCCTGGTCTGGAAGGCAGGATCACGATAGCACCATTCCTTTAGGGTGAAGTAAGGATTAACTGAAGTCATTCCTAAGGAGGTCTTAGAACAACCACAGGCACATAGTAAGTATTCAGTATGCATTGGTTGTTGCTAGTATTATTCCTGTGCTAGGCACATGTGGGTCTCTGGTCCTGAAGGTGGTCACGAGCTGGTTGAGATGGATGTTCCCACGTAAGCACAAAAGGTATGACAAGGAGTATGGTTGATGAGGTACCAAGTGAATGGAAAAGAATTCAGTTCTAAGGAACAGGCAGAGGGCGAGATTGCTGTGTCAGGAGAAGGCTTCACAGAGGAAGGAAGGCTTAAGCTGGGCTTGAAAGATGTGCAAGATTTGGCTGGACCACAAAAAGGCATGACAGATGGGGGGAGAGCTCCAGGCAAGGGGCTAGAGCCCCAAGAATCCACAAGAATTAAGCTAGAAGTCAAAGCATTATGCAACTCTGATGCTTTCAAGACTGCAAGCCAAACCTCTTCAATTAAGATTTCCAAATCAAAATGTTGGCCTTTCTTATAGAGAAAGAAATATTGATTTGTGTTAACTTCATCTGGCAAAACAATGTTACAAAGCAAGGGCAACAGAGCTTATTGTGAAGAGAACCAGAAGAGGCATGGATCTATTATAAATAGAGCTTTGATTTATAAAAAGGGAGGATGGATATATTTGATAGAGATGTTACTGAAATAAAATCATATTGGTTGGTGAGGTAAAAAGTGTTCTGCCCAAAAAGTGTTCTATTCGTTCAATCATTCTTTGAATATGTATTATTTACTGTGTCCCAGGCATTCAGGGGAGACACTGGTAGTGACAATAAACATGGATTCTGCTATAAATGTGTTGATCTCATGTTTGTCATTTTCTATAAGTTAGGAAATTATCTTAAAATAAAGAAATAAAAGCAGGTCCACATGAAGCAAGCATTTCAAAAACATTGCTATGTATATAGTTTGTTTCCAAAAAATTTTTAATCTACCTTCATGCAATTTCATAAGTGAATTTGGTCTTCTGAGTAAGAATTACAAGAATTTGAATTCATAAGTGAATTTGGTCACCTGAATAAGAATTACAAGAATTTGTTATTGAACATTAAAAAAAATTTACCCAATCACCAACAACTGAATTTCTAAACAAACTTTTCCTTGAATATCACTACTTACAAAAATGAATTAATTTAAGAAGCTGTCAATGAATGAACCAACCATGTGCCCCACGCTGTTTTAGTTGTAACAAAGGATAAAAAAGAAGGATTTTTGCTTCCAGAACAAGACTGGCAACAGAGACTGGATTTATTCTCCTTCCTGAAACAATCAACCAACCAGACAAAATGTATGAAACAATGGTGTTCAAACCATATCAGGCAATAAAGGACAGTTACTGAGAGATACGAAAACAAAGTAAGCCCTATGATTGCCCAAGCTTACTGTCTTATGAGGGTTTCCAGGCTGTAGCTTGGGGAGAGAATCCAGGAGGAGCTCAGCAAATACTCTGAGTTGAGAATTCTCTGTCTGGGGCCAGAGCTAAAACTCTGGGGAGAACAAGGTGGCCAGAATTTGCGGGACAGAGCACTGAAGAGGAGAAAGCTGTACAGAAATCTGGAAATCGGAGAGGGTCTCCCTCAGGTGTTCAGCATGATAGACCTGTGAGTGGGAGGAAACTACCCCAGGCTGGGGAAAGAACCATCTGGGAGGATTAGACAATAATGCTAGGTGTTCACACAGAGCTGGGAACAGAAGAACAGAGTCTGTTCCCCCAGCCAGACTGGAAAACTGTATCATTCATGGAGCATTGTGGAGCATCAATAGTAGGGAGTAATTAGCCCTGCACTAAACACTGCTCTGGTCCTACCTAATAGCTCTTAAAAGCAAGACTAAAAGGATCAGGCTGTTTCCAAGCAATTTAACTGGCTCCCATAACACAGAGCAAGAATATTTATAGAAATATCAAAATATCCAGCACCCAACATGGTAAAATTCACAATGTCTGGAATGTAAACAAAGATTATCAGGCATGCAAAATATGACTCATAATGAGAAAAATAAATCAATCAAAATTGACCTGAACTGGGGTGTCTGGTGTCGGTTAAGCGGCCCACTCTTGGTTTTGGCTCAGGCATGATCTCATGGGTCATGAGATCAAGCCCCGCGTCAAGCTTCATGCTCAGTGGGGAGTTGGCTTGAAGATTCTCTCCCTCTGCTCCACCCTGCACTTGTAAGTGCGCCCACTCTCTCTCTCAATCAAGTAAATAATCTTAAAAAAAAAAAAATTTGACCTGAACTGACACAGATGAACTGACACAGCCCAGGATGTGAAACCAGCTATTATAACTCTATTCCATATGTTCAAAAACATGTATGATTTTAATAAGTTGCAAATCAAAATTTTAGGGATAGAAACTACAATAAGTAAGATGCCCAAGATTCATAGCAGATCAGACTTTGCAGAAGAACATTTTAGTGAACAGGAAGACATAGCAATAGAAACTATTCAAAATTATACAGGGGGATAAAAGTTTAAAAAATGAGGAAAGCATCAGAATGCTATGGGGCAACTTCAAACAGCCCAATATATACATAATTGGAGGCCCTGGGGAAAAAGGGCTGGAATACAGAAAAATTATTTGAAGAAATAATGGCCAAATTTTTTCTAAATTTGTTGAAAACTATATACTCACAGATCCGAGAAGCTCAATGAAGCCCAGGTACAAAAACTTGAGAAGTACACCAATGTGTATATGATCCAGTTGCTGAATACTTGTGGTGAAGAGAACATCTTAGAAGCAGCCAGAGAGAAAAGACACGTTACATACAGAGGAACAAATATAAGGATAGCTGCAGATTTCTCACTGGAAACGGTGCAGGTGAGAAACCAGGAGAGCAAAATAGTTTAAGTACCAAAAGGAAGAAAGAAACCTCTCAGTCTAAATCCTATACCCAGCAAAAATATCTTCAAAAAGGAAGGTACCCTACAGATCTCTTCAGTGAGAATTCATCACCAACAGAACTACACTCTAAGAAATGTTAAAGGAAGTCCTTCAAGCAGGAGGAAGATGATATCAGATAGAAACATGGGCCTCCCCTAAGGAATGAAGAGCACTGGAAAAGGTATCCACACAAGGAAATACACACACACACAGACACACATATTATATATACATGCATATATATATATATATATATGTATATAATGTATAATATATATGTATATATATGTACATACATATGTATAAAATATATATATATTTTAACTGTGGTGTATATCTCTTTTTTTTTTAAGATTTTATTTATTTATTTGACAGAGACACAGCGAGAGAGGGAACACAAGCAGGGGGAGTGGGAGAGGGAGAAGCAGGCTTCCCCACAGAGCAGGGAGCCCGATGTGGGGCTCGATCCCAGGCCCTGGGATCACGACCTGAGCCGAAGGCAGACACTTAATGACTGAGCCACCCAGGCGCCCCAGTGTATATCTCTTTCAAAGGTAACTGCTTAAACAAAAAAAGTGTGGTTTTTAAACATGTATGAGTAAAAAAGTATGACAACAAAAGCATAAAGGCCAGGAGGGGAGAAATGGATGTATACTATAGTCAAGTTCTTATACTATATGTGAAGTGGAATAATATCAAAGGCAGACTGTGTTAAGATATACCATGAACCCTAAAGCAACCAATGAAATAACAAAACAGAATTATAGCTACTAAGGCCAACAAGGGAAATAAAACAGAATCATAAAAAATACTCAGTTGAAAAGAAGGCAGAGAAAGAGAAAAAAGGAACAAAAAAGACATGGAACAAATGTAAGACAAACAGCAAGATGATAGACTTAAATTTAACCATGTCAATAACCACACTAAAAATAAATGTCATTACTGTACAATTTCACTTATAGGAGGTTACTAGAGTAGCCAAACTCATAGAGATAGAAAGTAGAATGGTGCCTGCCAGGGGTTGGGGGAGGGGAAATGAGGGCTTATTGCTTATGGGTAGAGAGTTTCAGTTTTGCAAGATGAAAAAGTCCTGGAGATTGTTTGCCTAACAGTGTGACACTGTTAACACCACTGAACTATATACTTAAAATGGTTAAGATGTCAAAATCTGTGATGTGTATTTTGCCACAATTAAAACCAAGCCAAATCAAACCAAAAAAAAATCATGTATTTCTCTGAGGTGAAGAAAAGTCCAAATGCTTTAATTAAAAGGCAGAGATTGTCAGATTGGATAAAAAAGCAAGGCCAAATTATATAGTGCTTATAAGAAACACACTTTATTTTTAATCACAAATGTGTCTGTATTTTTATATGTTGATATTTGTATTTCAATAGTAGTACTCCTTTGGTAATGCAATATATTATTATTTTAAGTATTTCAAATGATGGTTCTAAGGAGGGATCCTTTGTCTTCTCCAGATGCTAAGGGTATCTCTACCCAGTGACAATTTGGAAGTCCTGCCCTAAGCCTCACCTCATCCCTCAGCTGGCCCTTCTTTCCTTGGATGCCTCATTTCCATATTCACTCATAACAGATGTTCTGAGCATCCACTGTGTGCCAGACGTGCTCAAGTCACTAGGGGCACAGACACATGTGTCTACCTGGTCCCTGTCCTGCCAGAGTCCCTCCCATGGCCACCTCACCCAATGCTGGGAAGGTGATGTCATGAGGCTCAGAAAGCTTACAATGGGGGGGAATTACCTTGTCCAAGGACCTTGGACCTTGGGCCTTCCTGGGAAAATGAGGTTAGCAATACGACAGAGGGGAGAAGGAGGAGTTGCCTCAGCAAAGGTGGCCAGGTGGATCAGCATATGCAAATGCCTCTGGTGGAGGAGCCCTCAGGCAGGCCTGGGTTATATTTCAGTGAGAGAGGGGGCCGGGGGCAGACAGGAGCAGGGCAGAGCAGCAGGACATTGCACACCTTGTCAGGGACTTAGGTGTTCACCCTTGGAGCTATGAGGAACATCCAAAGCAGGGAGAAGAATGGGGACTGCCATGGGATCAAGACAGTCCTATCTACATTTTTAAATGAATACTATAGTAGCAGGCAAGGAGAAGGGAGAGGAAGCAGGGAGATGAGCCAGGGGGAAAATTGTAGGGGAGAGTCCAAATACGCCACTGTGGCATGAAAATTATTTTGAGCTGAAAATAGGCTTTTTCCTGAACTCCCTTATCTATAAGCAAGGCCCCCCAAAATATCTCAATTGTCCTAAGTCCCCTCCCCAGGAACAACCAGGGAAAGATTGACTTTTATCACTGACAAACCCAGACATTGTCACAAAACCATCAATAATACCTCTCATCTATTCTCCTTTGGGCCCATTTATCTTTCCTAAAAGTCCTTTGTTTTCCTTGGAAGTACCTTCTCCTCCTCTGCTTCCCTTATTAAGTTGGTAATAAGCTCCCAAATTCTAACTGCCTAGTACTCAAATAAAAATCTGTCTTTTTTCTTGCTAATCTGTCTTTTGTCAATTTAACTCACAGGCCCTAGTTACTGAACCTAAAAGGGTAGAGGAAAAGTTTTCCATTCTGCTCTGACGTAGGTATCTGGGAGAGAGATGGTCTCGAGTGGGGACAGGGTGTTGGAGATGAAGAAAAGTAGATAGGTTCAAGAAAACCTTTAGGAGATCATATATCGGAGAGCCTGGGTGGCTCAGTTGGTTGAGCGACTGCCTTCGGCTCAGGTCATGATCCTGGAGTCCCGGGATCGAGTCCCACATCAGGCTCCCTGTTTGGTGGGGAGCCTGCTTCTCCCTCTGACCCTCCCCCCTCTCATGCTCTCTCTCTCTCCTTCTCTCTCTCAAATAAATAAATAAAAAATCTTAAAAAAAAAAGAGATCATATATCATTGA